TCCTATTTCCAAATGCATATTTATGACCAGGGGATAAAACTCAAAGATATTCAGATCTGGAGTTGATATAATGTTAGTTATTTTATTATTACATAATATACATAATTACATACAATATTTTATAACACATGTGTTTACATATGTGTTGTAGATAATATTATAATATAACATATACCTGTGTGTATGTTATATATGTATATAAGTAAATATGCATACATATGTATATATACTACATAATATATAAATATGCATATACTATATAATATTATTATTATAAATTCTTTTTCTAACGGTTATTTCATTGTGGTATGGAGGTGTCCTTTCGAAGGCTATGTCAGTGGATTCTGTGCTTTGGTAGGCTTTACCAAGATAGAAAGGCTTTAAATATAGTCCCAGTGAGAGGCTGTGAATCTGGCTCCCAAATTTGTCTAGAAGGTTGGAGAGGTGCATCTTCAGGAGGTTTACCACCATTTGGTGAATTTGTTGGCCATAGAAATAATAAAAAATAGCCCCTAATGAGGGGCAGAGGGGTTTCAAGGCATATCAGTGAAAGAAGTATTCACACCAGGGAAACTATAGATTCTGAAGAGCAAATAGAGTTTTCCACTAAGGAAATCAGATAGCTCCTATTGCTGGATGTGTTCCAACAAAAGCTGTTATGACCACTTCTCAGGGGTATCAGAGAGGGAATTCCCACACGAAGCAGGAAAACTGGCTAAAATGGCTTTTGGGATGCCTTCCATTTTCAAGATCCTATGATCCAAATGTATGTTTATCACTGATGCTGAAAGAGCATCCAAATCTTTAAAAAGCCAAGGATCGTTTGATCAATCTGATTCCCTACTGAGAAATTTTTTCCAGTTACTGACCAGGAAAGTGCTGATGGCAAGTTCACCACCTTTATCAGCATGGTTTTACTGAGCACTTATTGGATGAATGGAACTACGTCAGTTGTTGGCATTACTAGCAATACAGCACCTACTATGTACCAGGCACTCAGCTGAGGATACAGGGAAAAGCAAAAAAACAAACCAAACAAACACAGACACACAAACCAGCTTCTATTCTCAAGGAACTCATAGACTAATGAGGGAGAAGACAGGTCATAAACATGCAAACAAGACAGATAAATTGGGGGTAGCCTTAGAGGAAAGGCACTAAGACTAAGGAAGACCAGGAAAGGCTACTTGCCCGAAAGGAAGAACTTTAGCTGGGGCTTGAAGAAAGCCAAGAGGTGAATCCAAGGAAAGAGAGCATTACAGGTATTGGAACAGTCAGAGAAAATGCTTGGAATTGGAAAATGGAGTGGAAGGAATATTAAAGGCCCAGTCCAACTCTGTCATTTTATACTTGAGTTAAATAAGGACCAGAGATGGAGTGACAAGCTCAGAGCTGTATGTTAGGACTATAGCTAAGACTATAGTTAAGACTCCTCTTTCAGAGTCTAGGTCGCTTAATTCCTTGTCCTATATGTATATCTTTTTTCATATTTCCTAGTCTTAAGAATATTATAGGGGGCGGAATCAAGATGGTGGAGTGAAGGCAGTGACTTGCTTGAGACCTCCCCCAAACCCTTCCAGATACCTGTAAAAAATGGCTGTAAACAAATACTAGAGCAGCAGAACCCACAAAAAGACCAACTGAAACAAATTTCCAGCCCAAGACAACCTGGATTGTTGATTATAAAGGTCTATCGCACCAGGCTGGGAGAGGAACGCAATTCAATGTGGGCGCACAGGCAAACACCAGGCTTCAGAGGACTGAATCACGGGCAGCTGTGGCAGTTTCCAGATTTCTCAACCCACAAACACCAAAGACAACTTAGAAGGTCAGTAGGAAAAATCTGTGACACAGTGAGAGAGAAGCTCAATCCCAGCCCCAGTTCCCGAGTGCAGCCCTGGGGCAGTGGCTATTTCCAGAGCTTCTGACCCACAGACTGAGTGGGAATAGAGGGGATGATCAGAGGGGGATTGCAGGGATCTCTTTGCTGGTGCTGAGGCAGGATTCTCTTGCTTTGCCTGTGCTTGGATCTGGGTTGTAGTCCTGGGAAGCAATCCTGGGGTTACGAGGAATGCCGGCGTGGTGGAGCTTGTAGTGGTGGTGGAGAAGGAACCCTCTTCACAGTTCCAAGACAGAAAAAAGTGCTTGTGGTCACTCACAGACCAGAATACAGGCCAGGAAAGGAGTAAACACCTCGCTTTTCATCATACGACCTTGGAAGAACTGAAAATTTACAGGTCCCTAGAAGTATTTTTGAAAATAGCTGCACAAAACCCCTGAAGCTTGGGACAGTACATTCTCTAGACTGGAAGCAGACCCCTACCTTAACAAAGACCTTAAAACTCAAGTAACTAGCTGGGAACATGAGCTAACTGTGCAAAAAAAAAGTCAGACCATAGAATCTTTCTTTGGTGAGAAAGAAGATCAAAACTACAACCAGAAGACAACAAAGTCAAAACTCCTACATCCAAAGCCCACAAAAAAATATGTATCAGTCCCAGGCCATGGTAGAGCTCAAAAAGGATTTTAAGAAGCAAGTAAGAGAAGTAGAGGAAAAACTGGGATGAGAAATGAGAGTGATGCAAGAAAATCATGAAAAACAAGTCAACAATTTGCTATAGGAGACCCAAAAAATACTGAAGAAAATACTACCTTAAAAAACAGCCTAAACCAAATGGCAAAAGAGGTCCAAAAAGCCAATGAGGAGAAGAATGCCTTAAAAAGCAGAACTGGCCAGATGGAAAAGGAAGTCTAAAAGATTACTGAAGAAAATACTTCCTTAAAAATTAGAATGGAGAAAATGGAAGCTAGTGACTTTATGGGAAATCAAGACACTGTGAAACAAAACCAAAAGAATGAAAAAATAGAAGACAATATGAAATATCTCATTGGAAAAAACTGACCTGGAAAATAGATTTAGGAGAGAGAATTTTAAAATTATGGGACTATCTGAAAACCATGATCAAAAAAAGAGCCTAGACATCATCTTTCAAGAAATTATCAAGGAAAACTGCCCTGATATTCTAGAACCAGAGGGCAAAATAGAAATGGAAAGAATCCACCAATCACCTCCTGAAAGAGACCCCCAAAGGAAAATTCCTAGGAATATTGTAGCCAAATTCCAGAATTCCCAGGTCAAGGAGACAATGTTGCAAGCAGCCAGAAAGACACAATTCAAGTATCGTGGAAACACAATCAGGATAACACAAGATTTAGCAGTTTCTACATTAAGGGACCAGAGGGCTTGGAATATTATATTCAGGAGGGCAAAGGAGATAGGATTACAACCAAGAATCACCTATCCAGGAAAACTGATTATAATCATTCAGTGGAAAATATGGACATTCAGTGAAATAGAGGACTTTCAAGCATTCTTGATGAAAAGACCAGAGCTGCATAGAAATTTTGACTTTCAAATACAAGATTCAAGAGAAGTATGAAGAGGTAAACAGGTAAGAGAAATCATAAGGGACTTATTAAGGTTGAACTGATTACATTCCTACATGGAAAGATGATTATTTGGAACTCATGAGACTTCTGTCAGTATTAGGGTAGTTGGAGGGAAAAAAATTATATGTATAAATAGAGGGTACAGGGTGAGTTGAAGATGAAGGGGTATAAAATGAAATAAAATGGAGAATAAAATTAAAGGGTGAGAGAGGATTGTACTGGAAGAAGGAAAAAAGGAGAGGGAGAATGGGGTAAATTATCTCATATAAAACAGACAAGAAAAGGCTTTTACAGTGGAGGGGAAGTGGCGGAAGGTGAGAGGGAATGTGTGAATCTTATTCTCATTGGATTTGGCTTAAGGAGGGAATACCATACACACTCAATTGGGTATGGAAATCTATCTTATCCTTCAAGAAAATAGGGGGGAAGGGAATAATAGAGTGGGGGGTGATGATAAAAGGGAGGGCAGATTGGGGGTATGGGGTAATCAAAAGCAAATACTTCTGAGGAGGGACAGGTCAAAAGAGAGAATAGAATAATTGGAGGGGGGTGGGATAGGATGAATGGAAATATAGCTAGTTTTCCACAACATGACTACTATGAAAGTGTTTTGCATAACTACACATGTATAGCCTCTATTTGAGTTGCTTCCCTTCTCAATGAGGGTGGGTGAGGAGGGAGGAAGGGAGAAAATTTGGAACCCAAAGTTTTAAAAACAAATATTAAAAATTGTTTTCACATGCAACTGGGAAATGAGATATATATAGGCAATGGGGTATAGAAATCTATCCTGTCCTACAGAAAAATAGAAGGAGAAGGGGATAAGAGAAGGGTGGGGGGAGGTAGAAGGAAAGGCAGATTAGGGAAGGGGTATTCAGAATGCACGCCATCTTGAGGTGGGGGGAGGGATGACATGAGGAGAAAATGTGGACCTGAAAATCTTATGGAAGCGAAAATTAAAAACTAGAAATAAATTAATTAATATAGTTTAAAAAAATAATCTTATAACACTGAAAGTACAAGGAAAGGAAACAAGGAAATTGACACATTTCCATTACTATTTGAAAGGTAGTGTGGTATAGTGTATAGGGTCCTGACTTGGAGTCAGAAAGATTTGGGTTCAAATACCCCCTCTGATATTTACTAGCTGTGTGACTTTAGGCCTTGCTTTCTTCATTTGTAGAATTAGGGGTTTGTACTCAATGGCCTCAAAGATGCTTTCAAGCTCTAACTTGACTCCCAAACTTTGTGTGCTATTAACTCCTACTTGTCATTGTTGTTGTTGTTGAGTCATTGTCATTCATGTCCAACTACTTTGTGACCCCATTTGGAGTTATCTTGGCAAAGAGACTGGAGTGGTTTGCCATTTCCTTCTCCAACTCATTTTATAGATGAGGAGACGAAGGCAAACAAAGTTAATGAGTTGCTCAGGGTCACACAACTAGTGAGTGTCTGAGGCCAGATTTGAATTCAGGTTTTCCTGACTCTAGGCTCAGCACTCTACTGTGCCATCTAGCTGCTCCATATGGAATGCTTTATGAATTTATTTGTCATACTTGTCATATTTATTTGTCATATTTGTCATACTTGCACAGGAGCCATGCTAATCTTCTCTGTATCATTACAATTTTAGTATATGTGCCACTGAAGTGAGCATTGCTTATCACTTACATTACTTATCACTTCCCCAACTTTATCACCCCTCCTTTTGCTCAGCATGCCACGTGGACAGTAGTGGCATCTTGTGGGTATGGTTATCTCTGTCCCTAAACATATGGTTGGCTGCCTGACATTGTCTGTCTAAGATGATAAATTGCCCAAAACGGGACAGATTGCTATGTACAAGGCTTGCCAAGAGCACATGCTACAGTCCGGAGGTTCAGAGAGGGAAAGAGTCCTCACTAGGATGGATCTGGAGTAAACCCTTCAGCTATGCTGTCAGTTTCAGAGTGAAACCATCTTCCTGGTATGTGAAAGTTCTTGTTTCTGTCTAACTGGATGGAGATAGAGATTCCTGGGCCAAAGGTCTCAGGGTAAAGAACCATTCATTCTTTGCTGAGGACTCAATCCTCAGAGCTAGGGTTCCAGCTGGTTGAAAGGTTTGGGCTTCTTATTGGCTCTTTAAATTTTTACCCTACCTCCGTGTTCAACACCTATTCTCCATGACAGTTCCATAAGAGTAGATTCTATTATCACTCTTAGAAGATTCTGTCAAGGGTGCAAGGAAGAATTGAAGAAATATTTGCCTTGAAACATGGAATCCCCAGGTAACCTCAGGTATAGGGCCTTTCTTCTTCCCAAATCCTAAACAAATCCCTGTCAGTCAGGACCAACTAGAAATCTAGTTCCAGGAATGTAGCTCTGATCACTGAGGCCAGGCCTTTAGAACAAGTGTATAGGACCAGTGTCTTACACCTATGGCAGGTTGCTTTGAGTTAGCCATTCGATAATACCACGTTGGTTCTCACTATGTGGTGAGTATGTACATACATACATACATACATATAATACATATATACATACATACTAGACATTGTTGGGGAATACAAATAAAGCAGAAGACATAAGACATTGAATCTAATCCCTCCATGCAAAACAATTGGTCACCATCCCTGATTAAATATCTCTAGTGATGATGGTAGTGGTAATGATGATGATGATGATAGCTAGTATTTATATAGCACTTTAGAGTTTATAAAGTGCTTTGTATATATAATCTCATTTGATCCTCAAAATAGCCCTGGGATGTAGGTACTATTATCTCCGTTTTAGAGATTAGGAAACTGAGGCTGAGAGAATTTAAGTGGTTTGTTCTAAGTAAGTGTCTGGGGCAGGATTAGAACCTTTATCTTCCAGCTTCCAAGTCCAGCAGTCTATAGACTGTATTCTCTAGCTGTGTCAAAAATAAATACCACTTCTCCAAAGCAGCCCATTCAATTTAGGAATAGCTTTAAGTGTGGGGAAATGTTTTCTTACATTACTCTGCTCTCTGAGGCAGTCAGGTGGTACAGAATATAGAGCCCTGGGAATAGAGTTAGGAACACTAGAGTTCAAATCTGATCTCAGACATTTACTGACTCTGTGACCCTGGGTAAGTTACTTAACCTCTGTTGATCTCAGTTTCTTCAACTTTAAAATAGGGATAATAATAGTACCTACCTCCTAGGGTCTTTGGGAGGATCAAATGAGATGATAATTGTAAAGCACTTAGCAGAGTGCCTGGCACATAGTATTCATTATGGAAGTGTTAGTTATTATTATTATTATTATTAATATGCCTCACTGCAACTTCTACATACTGCTCCTAGTTTTACTTCTTGGAAGTAAGAAGAACAAATCAGATCCCTCATCTATATGAATGGCCATCAGATTCTGAAGAGAGGCATTATGCTCTACACTAACTCCCTCCTTACCCAGCACAGAATCTATTCTCCTCAGGCCAAACACCTCCAGACCCTTCAATTAATCCTCATACATAATGAACTTGAGGCTTTTACTGTCCTAACTGCCCTTCCCTGTATGCTCTCTAGCTTTTCAATGCTTTTGCTAAAATGGGATACTCAGAACTGAACACAATACCCCAGGTGTGGTCTGAACACTGTGGACAATCATCTTACTCCTGGAGGCCATGACTCAGTTGTATTAGCTCTTTGGGCTGCATAATGTTGATTCATACTAAACTTGTAGTCCACTCAAACCCCCAGTCTAACCACGTCTTCCACGTCACACACTTATAAAGCCAACTTTTTCAATGTCATTACAAGGACCTCATATTTATACAAATTAAATCTTATCTCTTTGGTTTTGGTCAGATATTCTGACCTGTCAAAAATTTTTGAGATCCTGAATCTATCATCTCAGGTGCTAGCTCTCTATGATTTTCTACAGTCTAAACCTCCTCAGTTCATTCCACTAACCCCTGTGTGGAATAGTCTTCCATGGACCACAATTAACAGTCTTTCCCCATTTGGACAATTCATCATTTTAGACAGACAATGTCAGGCAGCCCACCTTACGTTTGGGGACTGAGATCCTGTACCTGTAAGATGCTGCCACCATCCATGTGGTGCCCAAGCCTGAGGAGAAGTAGCAGCACTGGAGAAGTGCTCAGCGACTTGGCTGAAACAAACATCTCAGTTGGGAGTTTTGATTTCTCGCCCTTTTGGTCACCCTTCACTGGGTGACCTCCTATGTCTACCTTTCCATTTCCACCAATTATCGATGTGCTTTCTGAAATGGATAGGACCAGAGCAGAGTCTGACAGTAAACAACCACCCCTCTAATTCTGAACCCTATAGCATGTAATGATAGATAAACAAAATTAATATGATCCTAAGTAGAGAAACAGTAAAAACAGTTTCCCATCCTTCCTTGATCTAGGACCCCCAAGCAAGACAGGCAGGGAAAGGATCCAGAGTCCTATGGAAAATAACACATAATTGCCCTGCTGGACTGACCCTGGTCATCTTTACTCCAGCAGGCTCCCAGTACTCTCTATTCCACTCAGGAAGGTCAGAGTTGAAGGAGTTGGGCACCCCAGGCTCTGTCAATCGCATCATCCCCACCTCCTGAATTTGGCTCATCCCTTCTAGCATGGGAGAAGTAGTGGTTAGGGTGGCACAGATGGAGTGGCAGATGGGAAGTGAAAGTGTAACATAAAGTCACCCAGGATAAAAACTATTCATGTGCAAAATTCATATGTTCCTATGCAGAGAAACTTAATGAAATCAATTGCAAAATGAACCAGTGGCACATGATGGATAAACTGCCTCTGGCCTGGAAGCTGGCAAACCTAGGAGTGGTAATGGACCATCTGGGACTGGGGGCAGGGGACTGAAGAGGAACAGGAATGGCAGAGACAGAGTAGGATGGAAAGAGACAGCAGACAAATGGGACAATGAGACAGAGAGAAGAAATGGAGACGGTGGGAGAAGTATGATGAGACAAAGAAATAGAGAAAAAAACTAAGAGAGATCCCAAGAGAGACATGCAAAGTAAGGTAGAAAAGAGACAATGAGAAGCAGAGAGAGAGAGAGACAAATAAAGACAAAGACAGAAAGAGAAGGGAAGACAGTGGGTAGGCTGCTCTCTTTCCTGATTTTTTAGAACACTGTGGCCTCGTTTTCAGGGTTTGTCTGCTCTGAGAAGCTTGGAAAGACTTGGAGAATTATTAGGCACAATGAAAGAGCTTCTATAAGTGTCATCTCTACCCAGGGCGAGTTTATACTCATTCTGTAATTGGGTATCACATAGGAACAGGACCATGTGAAGCTTCAAACCAAAGGCCTACTGCAGAGTCCTCAGACATAATTTCAAGAGAGCCAGTGGGAAAGCATCTACCCACATGCTCCTCTCCCCACATCTAAGTCGATGTGCTCCTTTCCCCACTAATTGTCCACATTTTACAACTTTAGCTCAGGAAATCAACATGGGGTGGCCTTGGATAGCCTGCCTGACCCCATTAGTCGAAGGTGGATTAGGCCTGACTCAGAGGCCAGGTGTCTATTCCCAATAAGTCTTTGGCCTAGTTTTTGGAACTGGAATTCTTATCTGCCCTCTATCATCCACTGGCTCCCCTAGACTTCTCTGTACCATATGTGTGGACTCTGAGGCTCAGAATGGGGACTGGGGCATGTTCTCATCCTCCTAAGGAGAGGGAAAAGGTGAGCTAGATTAAAAGGCTGAACTTGGGAACCATGAATGCCATTTCCCTGACCAGCAGCTCAGGACTAAGCTAGCAGGATTACAGGGACAGAGGGAACCACTGGGCATTTTCTCTACTTCCCTACACACAGTTTCACTCTTCCCAAGTTCCTTAACTGTAACATTCTTTAATCATGGTCGTGTATTAGTTCCTTTTGTAGGCTCCTCCTTCTTAAATTGCTATTTTGCTTCCTGGAATAGAAGTAAGCTTCTTGAGGGGAGGGACATTTCATTTTTGTCTTTGCATCTCCAGAGTCTAGCACAGTACTTAATGAATAATAAGTACTTATACAATTCTTCCTGATTGATTGAGAGAGCCCAGGCCTACAGCAGCTACCCTTTAGGGCTAATTTAGGTCTCTATTTTGGATATTTTTGGACTCAGTACCTAAAAGGGGGAGGGGGAAAGAGAGGGGCCTAAAGTCAGTCTTACAAATAAGTATCAGGTAACAATTTTTTTTTTAAATGTTCACTTTATGATATACTGATAGCGTTCCTTTCCTTCTAGTCTACCATTAATGTTTTAGACCCCAATTATATACAACATGAGGCTGCCTGACAGATCAGGGCAATCCACTCCCAAATACAAGATGAATGTGATTTAAAAAAAACAAACAAACCAGTTTTCTTACACTTTATTACCTACCATATCACACACTCTTCACTGACCTCCTGGTTGATACATGAAAAAGACGCTCCATCTCTCAACTCTGGGTATTTTCTCTGACTGTCCTTCATGCCCAGAATGCTATCCCTCCTCATCTGTGCTTACCGGCTTCCTTCAAGTCTCAGCTAAAATCCCACCTTCTACAAGAAGCCTTTCCTGATCCCTCTTAGTTCTAGTTCCTTCCCTCTGTTGGTTATAGACAGATTATAGTAGAGACAGTAGTACAGTAGTAGAGTAGATTATAGTGATCTATTGAATATAGACAACTTACCCTGTCTATAGATTGTACACAGTTGTTTACATGTCTCTCCTATTAGATTGTGAGCTCCATGAGGGCAGGGATTATCCTTTGGCTTTCTCTGTATACCCAGCATTTATCATAAATCCTGACACATTAATAAATAAATAGGCAAATAAATAAATAAATAGATAGATAATATATAAATAAATAAATGCTGGCTGGCTGGCTGGCTGGCTGACTCTTCAGCTACAGGCCCCCTTTGGAAGGTAACAGAATTGGAAGAAATACCAAGGAAACAAAAGCCCAGGGATACATAGAAGAATACATAGTGAGAGTTATAACTTCTTGCTTTAAACATGTACATACTCAAAAAAAAAACTCCTATCATCCCTGTATCTATATTTCTTTGAAACATTGCTCTCAAATTTGGTTATACTCAAATCATATCTTGATAAATAAGAACGGATTTCCCCTTTCCTCTCACCAGACCAGAACAGAACAGTGCATTTCTCCTTTTAACTTTTTCTGACAAATCAGGAAAGAAGAGTCAAAAGCAAAAGTTCTATTGATGGGAAATTTCCTTTTAAAATGTTTCCCACTGAATTTTTCTGTTATTTTAAAAGGGATAATCTACTTTGATACAGAAGAGAAAACCTCACCAATGGGTAGGGCTTAGCCCCAAATTAAAAAAAAACTTTCAAAGGCAATAGCATCACTATGGAAGTCTGTGGTCCAGTAAGTTCTAACTCACAGGACAAAGAAAATATATGTAGGTAATGCTGGGAACTAAATGTGAAATCTTAGAAGTCATAGAAGTCTTGCTGATGAGGTTTGGGGGAGATTGGGAAGAAAAAGAAAAGGAATGTTTCATGAAACATAGATTTTTAAAAAAGAAATTCTCATAGATCTGAGTAGGATTTGGTATGACCCTTCTTGAAAGAGAGTAAATGGGACAGGTGCTATAGAAGTACCTGGCATTGAAATTGTATATGTATAACTGTGATACTTACATCAATCTTCCACTTCCAAAATAAGAAGTTACATGCCATAGTATGATTGATTTTTGTTTTAGTCTCATCTGAAGGGTTCTACTTCTGCTTCAGAGATTATCCAATGAAAACTAAAGATAACACCAAGCACCTTACTTTGAGAGAAAGTCTTTAGCGGAACAAGGATAACTAGCTTTTGTTCTCTTAATTAGCAAAACAAAACAAGGGAGGGAAAGGAAGAAAAGGAAGAACAGGAGAGAGAAAGAGAAAGAGAGAGAGACACCATAGAAGGGGGAGGGAGGAAAAAAAAGGGAGAGAGATGGAGAGAAACCACGACACTAGACTGGCCTGCACCTTGGGCAGAGCCACCTACCTATCCATCCATCCTTCCATCAATCTACTTATCTATCTCATCCATCCATCCATCCATAAACATACCTGATGGGATAGTCAGCAGCACTGAGATTAATGAAGAAGTCCCATGGCCAATCTGTCATCTCTGTTAAGTCCCTCATGCTCTGGAGGTAGGTGGACAAAAGACTGGCACCTCCCCAGATGGTAGCCATTCTCCAGGAGGTCACACGCACATTTTGGTACTGGCCAGCAAACTGGAGCACTTGTCGATGCAGATAATTGGACCTCTTTTCCAAGAAGACAAAAAGAACCATTCAGCAGCGAGTAAAATACATTGACATAACTTTCGTGTCTTCCATTTCCTTTTAGCACATTGGACTTCCAAAAAACCTGATTTTTCCAATCAATGAATTCCAGCTTGGAGTCCTTAATGATGTTAAACTGTAAATAGGCCCTAAGGTAGAGAGAATTTAGAATGAAATCTGGAAATTTTGTCAATAAATATATGATAGATCTCCTGGAGTGTGGAGTCTTACCAGCCTTCCTGGCTCCTCCTAAAGGTCTGCTAAGAAGCAGGTACCCTCAGAGCAGGTCAATTTGAACATTCCAACCACTCCTTTTATTTCTTGACTTCTTAGAATAATACAAGCTCAGATGCACATGACTGACTTAGCTAGATATTTCCACAAAACTTGAGACAAAGAAGCATATAAATAAAGCAAAGCACATTTTAAATATTCCCCTCTCCTAATATTTAATAGGGTGTATGTTATAGGTCAAATGTTACAGATGGAGAAAGGAGAGTGGCTTTTCTACGGGCAACCTTCTTGATGAGAGGAAAAGGTATATGATAGGGTGTCAGAAACAGATTGGCAGAGGGTGAAACAGAAAATTTGTAACAGGTGATATATTACCTTGTCAACATGAATATAATAAAAATGGTCCTTATGGTAAATAGCCTTAAACATGCGTTGGAGCTGCCGAGATGCCCGGCCATGTACCACCAAGACAAAGGCGATCCTGACAGGGTTGGCAGGCATGTACTCCACGGAGTCCTCATCCCACCGCACATTGTTGTTGGCTTTGCCTGTAGAGAAATCCAAGAGATCACAGATGTGGATGTGCCCACAGGACTATAGAAATCTGGGGCCTTACAGAGGATTTTCTTCACCTAGACCATTTGATCATAGAACACTAGAGTTAGGCCCTTAGGAGTCACCTGGGTCAAACTACATGAGGTGTCATTTGTAGACTGAAGACTAGACTTTAGGAGAGGTAGATTGTAGTCCTATTTTTTTTGTTCTTGTTAATTTTTAGTTCCAAATTCTTTCTCCCTTCCCCTACCCCACCCATTGAGAAGGCAAGAAATACACATTATATATATGAAGTCATACAAAATATATTTTCACATTAGCCATATGAAAAAAAAACACAAGAGAAATAAAGGAAGTAAAAGAAAATAAGCTTTAACCTGCACTCAGAGTTAATCAGTTCTTTTTTTGGAAGTGGATAGCATTTTTCATCATGAGTCTTTTGGAATTATCTTGGATTAATATATTAATCAGAAGAGCTAAGTTTTTGACAGTTGATAATCAAACAATGCTGTTGTTACTATATATGATGTTCTCCTGATTCTGCTCACTTCACTTTATATCAGCTCAAATAAGTCTTCCCAGGTTTTTATGAAACTATCTCTTTCATCATTTCTTGTAGTACAATAGTATTTTAACACAGCCATATACCTCAACTTGTAAGCCATCCCCCAACTGATGAGAATCCCTTCAGTTTCCAATTCTTTGCCACCACAGAAAAAGCTGATATAAATATTTTTGTATATGTGGACATTTTTCTTCTTACAAAAATTTCTTTGAAGGTCAGCTAGATGGCGTAGTGGATAAAGCACCGGCCCTGAAGTCAGGAGGACCTGAGTTCAAATCTGACCTCAGAGCAAACACTTGATACTTACTAGCTGTGTGAACCTGGGAAAGTCGCTTAACCCCAATTGCCTAAAAAAAAAAATTTCTTTGGGATACAGACCTACTACTGGTGGTATTGCTGGGTCAAAGGATATGCTTAGTTTTATAGACCTTTGGGCATAGTTTCAAATTACTCTCTAGAATGGTTGGATCAGTTCACAACTTCACCAATGGTGCATTAGTGTCCCTATTTTTCCACATCTCCTCTAGCATTTGTCATTTTTTCTTTTCCATCATGTTAGCCAATCTGATAGGTGGTATCCCAGAGGTATTTTAATTTGCATTTCTCTATCCAGTCCCAGGTTTGCCATTTACTAGTTTTGTATGACTTTAAGCAAGTCATTTTATCACCCTGTCCTTCAATTTCTTTATCTATAAAATAATGATGTTGCACTAATAGAGGTTGCCAAACTTCTTTGGCTTACTCGTCACCTTTTAAAAAAAAATTATTCAGTGCCCCCCTGGAAATCTACTTTCTTTAACCCCCTTTTTTTGGTTTTATTTTGTTTTTTGAAATTTGTGTCTTTTCAAACTACTACAGTCCCCCCATTGTTCCAATGCCCCCCAGGGGGCAGTATCACCCACTTTGGGAACCTATGGCACTATCTCTAAAATTCCTTCCAGCTTATACTTTTTGATTCTATGAAATGTCCAAGATCATGCCGGAAATCTGCTCACTAATCTTTAAATCAGTTTCAAAATGTCCCTCCCCCAACACTCATCATCCTTACAAAGATCATAGTGATAGTACCTCTGAGGGCACCATGTTTTTTCAATTCACGGAATTTCCATTGCTTAACCTGGTTTTCATTGAGTCAGACTGAATCTCTTACAGGTCCTGATAAAGTAGGGCTTCCACATCTTCAAAGAGTCTGTACTCTTGCTCAGATTGTCTATACTGTCTATCCTGTCATAAATAATTTTCTTTGCTTTGAGTAAAAACAGATCTGGGTCATCAGGGAAGCATGCAGTGGTTGTCCCACTCTACTTACCCTCTCACCTAAATTAATAGGTCTGAATAGCAGACAAAAAGCAGATTCCATGATACTTAAACAATAACTGAGGTAGTAAAAATCACATTTTCTACCAAAATTCATTTTTTAAGTGATAATTTTTGCAATTTTTATTTGCATGCCCCAAATCTCCCTATCACAAAGTCTATCACCTGATAAAATTGTCCATTATTAATGTTACTGAACTTCTTAAAGAAAATTCATTTCTGAACTGATAATATTTTGGAGCTTCAAGAAAGTATTTCTGTTCTTGCCCTGGGGGACGGTGGGGCAAATTCAATTTTATTAACATTAATTAACAATTCCATGCAAAGCAATGTGCTGGATATCAATACAAAGAGGGCACTGCCTACCTTTCAGTAGCTTATAATCTAATAGTGGAGATTAAGTATAATAATGACAATATAATAATAATAATAATAATTATCCAGTCCAATCTGATTCAATCCAATGGGCGATTATGAGGTATTTGTTACCTGTACAGTTTTTGCCTCTCTTTGTATCACCTCAGTGTCTGCTCTATCCTACCTGCATGTGAGAGCGCTCACACACACTCTTAGTTCTTACACCTAGCAAATGCTTAATATATTCCTGTTGATTGATTAGGGATTTTTTTAAAAATATGGATGTGGAATCTTAACACTCATCCTGCCTCCCCCTAAAGGTCTGCTAAGAAGAACTCTTGCTTCCCTTGAGTCAGCCTAATTTGAACATTCCAATTGCCCCTTTATTTCTTGACTTTTTATAATAATGTCAGTTCAGTTGCACACTGAAAGCTATGGTGACTATTTCTTGTGATTTAATTGCTGTAGGGAGTTCTCTGTGAGCATCTTCTGCTAACAAAGATGAGTTCCTTCTCTGCAAGTCTTTGAGAATTGTCTAGGGGCAGTGAGATGTTTAAGTGACTAGCCCAGGGTCACACAAATAGAATGTCAAGGGCAAGACTTGAACTGAGGTCTCCTTCATACTAAAGTTGATGGGGTGCTTGGGTGCTTGTGCTTGGGTACTTGTGTTTGTACTTGGACCCTGATTTCTCCCTAGTTTCAGAAACACTGTCTCTGACAATCACTCCCCAGCTCAAGGACACTGTGCCTAGCAATTACTCATGCGTGGGCCCCAGCAAGACCCTTATCTCTCTCCCTGGTGCAGCCACACAAAGCTGGGTGAGAGAGTGCTGGGCTGCTCAGGCCCCTGCCATCAGATCAAGTCTCTGGAAGCCTCCCAATTCCCTAGTAAGTTCGTGTCTTGTGAGAAAATTTTCCCTTGTTGCAGAACGTTCTTTCATCAAGACAGAGAGAGAGGGGTGCCCTGCCCAGCCCAAGGAGTTTTGTCTTTGGCTGGCCCAAGGACTCTTCGTCCTGCCAGACTCCCAAGATCCATGCCTCTGTCATCTCCCTCCCTGTCTGGTATACTCCCTGTACTTTCCTATCCACAGCTTCCAAAGACACCTACACCTTTGGATTACCTAATCAGTACCTCTGGCATTCCTTTCCCATGCCCTTTTCCATATAAACCCTAGCTCCATCCTCAGTCTCTTGCAGGTTCCTTAAGAATCTTTGCCCACTAAAAAGTGTAAGAATAAATCTTTGCCACCTTGACTTAAAGAATGCTTGTGAATTCATTTCAGATGACCCTGTCCTGTGCTCCAGTCTTTGAGGGGTCTCAACCTCTCAGACCGCAACAAATCCACCTTTCTTTCTATTACATCATGCTTCTAAACAGGTTCTTGGAATTTATTTATTTATTTTTGGAGACAATTGGCAAAAATTTGGAGGCAAATTTTTGGAGGCAATTAAATGACTTGCCCAGAGTTACACAACTAGCAAGTGTCTGAGGCCTGATTTGAACGCGTGATCTCCTGACTCCAGGGCCATTGCTTTATCCACTGTGCCACCTAGCTGCCCTTCAGGTTCTTGGAAGTTAAAGATTAAAAAAAAAAAAAGACAAAACAAAAACAAAATACCCAAATAGTCCCTACCTTCAAACAGCTAGTATGCTAAAATATACAACAGTACATATAACAATGGCATTTTGAGGAGATAGAGATAACTCACAACTACCAAGATCTGGAAAGGCTTGCTTTTTTCTAGTAAATAAGTTGAGGTTTAAAGGAAGCTGGAGATACTAAAAAAGCAGAGGTGAGTAGGGAGCGCCTTCCAGGAACACAAAACAATCCCTACAAAGAAACATGGGCAGGAGACTGAATTGAAGGAGAGCTACAAGTCAGGTTTTTTTTCTGGGAATGGGGAATATGCCCAGAGAAACCAAATACAAGCAAATCAGTAGAATAAGGGTGTCAGGTTAAAAATACAGCTAACCCCACCCTGGGGTTATCCAGTCTGGGGAGCAGTGGCAGTAATGTCAGACTTAAAAAAACACAGTCAGTCTGGGGCATGCCTATTTCAGAGTGTTTGTGTGTGTGTGTGTGTGTGTGTGTGTGTGTGTGTGTGTGTGTGTGTGAGAGAGAGAGAGAGAGAGAGAGAGAAACAGACAGACAGACACAGAGAGAAACAGGCCAGGACAGTGAATCAAGCCACATAGAGGAGGTGGGTGGGAGTGGGAGATGGCAGGGATCCAAGCCAAATAGCAACCCTCATTTCCTGAGGGCTGTCCCAAGGCTTGTTGAAGTTGTAACTAAAGTGTACTGAACTGGTTCCTTTATTTATATGCCACACTCCACCTTCAATGCCACATTAGATCCAAGTTAGCCTCTATATCCTCTCCCTTACAGCATTAATCAGAGCATGGGTATGAAGCAGTAAGGTGTGCAGCCCCTCATCTATAGAGGAAGGAGATGAGGCTCAGACACTATTATCATTTCCCAGCTCTGCTGCCAATGGTAATTTTTCTCTTTTTGATCCAGGACCCTAGTTTCTGTAACAACATTTCACAAAAGCTGCACTAATACTGAGGAGTTAAAAGTGATGCTTACCCTCAAAGGAAGGGGTCTAGATAGAGAGGCAGTGGCATGGGCTTGTCTGTGTTGATGTATTTGCTTTCAGGCACCCACATGGGCTCTGCTGGCTCTCTTTGGAAGTTTCATCATGATATAGAAGGAATGAATTCCTGAAAAGCAGAGGATCTCACCAGCATCTTAC